GGTTTGATGGGTCAATCTCAGATCTTAGGGAAGTAAGAGAAGCAAACTTGTAAATGAATTGCTCTGGAATTTCTGTCTGACTTATGCATTTTCTTTTATTTATTTCATTTTTGCATTGAAAACATTACATTTCTGTTTCCTTATAGAGTAGTGTATCAAGAGCCTGTGTATGGCAATAAATTGCTGCAGGTATGAAATCCCGACTGGTGGAAAAACTCATCACTATGATTGTGGGTTTGCTGTGAAATCCTACTAACAAGACAATTCTGGGGAGGGGAGATGTTCTCTAACATAGAAGGAGGAAAGACTTAACTGAATTTTCCAGTTTCGATGTGAATGCTTCCAGAATAGAGATGCATATCCTAAGATTTCCCTTGTTTGCTAGATCATGAGTGTATCCAAGTGGGGGTCTGACTTGGCTATAAATTTCCGGGCTTAAAATGTATCTACACTCAATTAATATAAGTTCAGTGAAAAGAATTGCAATGTTTCATTGTCATCAGTTGTCTGGATAATTTTGTAGTAGGTTCCTGGAGTCAACTAGAATGGTTAAGAGAAAAATTCATCCAGCATTGAGGGTGTGTACAGCTAACATAACTTTCCCTGGTTTCATTGTAGCTTCTTATAAATTTATTTCACACCTATTGCTATAGCTTTCAACCCTATTACTCACTGCTGAAGCAACCCCCAAATGAACCAATTTGTAGGAAGAAAAAAGAGCCAACACATCCATTGGAGTATAGCTGGCCGAGTCTCCCAATATGGTCTATAACCAACATTAAAACTGTCAAATAAAATGAAAGAAGAATGTAAAGCTAAGGATGATCAGTGGGAGTTTTATTACATGGATTTCCCTGTAACATACAATTCTCATTTTTTTTTGTTCTGTATTAAGTCCATTAAGAAAGTGCATTCTTTTTTTTTTTTAACCATGAGAATTCATCAAGTTTTAATGAGAAATCTGTATGAAAAAGGGGTACTTGGATCTAGGAGAGAACAAAATAATTTAAATTCCCAAGATCAACTTTTATTTTTACATTTTGAGAAAACTGACTTTCATTGCCACACTTCAAAAACTGCTGAATGTATGATGCAGATAAATTAGGGAGTGATTATTGAAGTGTTTCATTTTGCAAATGTTTTTATAAATGTAGTTTCAGTAAATCACATATTGAGATATATATGTGTATACTGGTATATTTGTGGTTAGCACAAAGTGAGATCCTTGGGTATTCTCAGAAGCTAGGGTGTTTCTGTCTGGGATCAAGCCCACTGCTACTTTATATGGTGAAACTGAAGGGAAACACACACACACACACACACACACACACACACACACACACACGAGACAACCCTTTCTACCCTATGTCCCCTGCAGTACACAAACATTTTGCCTCTCTTCCTAAGTCATTCACCATTAGGACATTAGAACATCTTTGTCCAAAAGTATGCTTTAAGGTCAAAAATGTGATTTCTTTTGTTGAATGACTCAGATGCACTGAGGGTCTACAGTGCTCAGCAGTATTGTTTTAGGAAGTTCCACAAATGGAATAGCCAGTTTCCTCTTAATTAACTTGGCATTTCCCAGACCTATTTGGGAAAGGTTCCTTTTCCTACCCCAGCTAGTATCCCACGAAGCACAGTTTTGAAAACGTTTTTTTGGAGCACCATCAGAGGTCCTTAATCAGTAATGTGCCCAACCTCCAGAGGACGTCTGCTAGCGAAAGAAATGTTTCAGACAACAGCAGTCAGGGTCTTTGTGGCCACGTCTGGTGGTGGCAGCAGAGGTGTGGGGGTGGAGGGTGGAGTGCGGATTCATAATGGCCATTTAAAATTTATATTTTATATAAGGTCTCATTTACAGCTTGTTTAGGAGGATGTTTTATGAGTAGGGAGTACAGAACTATGTTGTGCTTATCATTTGGTTTGGTGGTGGGAAAAATCTCACCGTCACGGATGCGTTTTTGTCCTAAAGTCGGGAAGACTGGTCTCAACATGAACATCCTTTGGTGCCAGCAAATGGAAATGAGCGCTCCTTTTTCAGACGTTAGCACAGAACCTTGGAGGAGCTCTGGCTATGCTCAGCGAGCTGCAAAATATGGAGCAATAAAATTGATTAGAGTCACCTGTTAGCAAGGCAAATTAAAGCAATTTGTATTTTTTGATCATTTTACAGTGTATGCACACCTACACTGAGTTAATACACAACTCTGTTATTCCCCTAATACGGATTTTGTACAGAAGAAAAATAGCAAAGGAAAACAATGCAATAGAGAGATGTGGTGGGATCAAGCCACTTAATCCTTTTCCTTTTTCCACTGAGTACCTATGTGGTGGATCTCATAGACCTGTACTGTCCAGCACTGAAGCCACCAGCCCCATGTGGCCCTTTGCATGTAAATTCAAATGAACTCAAATTAAACACAGTAAAAATTCAGTTTGCTCCACTAGCCACTTTTCTGGTGTTCGATAGTCACCAAGGACCAGGGACTACTGTCCTGGACGGCACAGATGTAGAGCATTGCCATCATCACCAGCAGGCCTACTGGTCAGGAAGGAGACCACGGCTTAAGGTCAGAGGCTCCACTGACTCCACAGACTTCAACACACTGTGACCTTGACTTTTAAATAGGGAATGCTAGTAAGCAGCTTCCTGAATGACAAAGACACATGTCAAGGTATTGACCATTTGTACCTGTCTTGCATAAAAACACACACTTCTTCTCCTTACATGGGCAAGTCATGTGAAAACAGTGGGGTGGATGGCCCTTCCCAAAGCTTCATAGACAAGCACATCGGTTGTGCACAAGGATCCCAGTGGCACACACATCCATTTTATGTGCATCCAGTGAATACCGACTGGCCGTCATTGATGCTCATTTTCATCATCTGCTATTTCCACTGCAGCTGTTGTCTCCACTTCTCAAACTTGCTGCCCACTTTCACCAGTGGAAACGATCACAGAAGTTGGGAACACATACAGAGTGCAAACCCAGAGGGTTTCTTGCAAGGAGCTGTCGCTAGAAATCTTTGCTGGGACCAAATTCACAGTCACAAATCATGACTGATTTACACGGCCCTCGATGCAGATACCTTTGCAATGGCTTTTGCTTTTTATTCTGGGAGAAAACACACACACACACACACACACACACACCCACACCCACCACTTTGTCTCCATCAAACCTTTCAGCTAGTGGTAGTTAGTGCCTCCTAGCAATCAGAGAGCTATCTTCAGCCCCTCTCTACCTCATTGTTTAGTACACACACCTGCACACCTGTGTCTTTCCGGACACATCATGAAAGCCAAGGAGATGGACAAGCAGATAAAAAGAACAACTGTAGAAATCTGGTGACCTAATTTCCCCTCGGCCCATCATTCTCTGTCTTGAGCTTGGTGCTGGTGTGACAACTGCTTTGGTTTTACAACTCCTCAGTACATCTAATGAGTTTCCCTGTTTCCTAATTAGAGAACGTGGTGTTTGGAACACCAGGTGGTGTCTGGATAAGACCTGGTGTTTTTTTTGTAGCTTCCATGTTATTGTTCAAGGGAGACTTCTTTTCTTTTCTTTTTTGTAATACTGGCTCCAAATGATTGGTGACTCTGTCAGGATGTCTTGGATGTGTGTGCCTTCTCCAGGGCTGATCCAAAGAACAAGTTTCTCTAAGGACAGACTAGATTTTTGAATTGCTACATTAGAGGTGGCAGATATATCCTGAAAGTTAGCTGTTGCTAGAAGAGGGTAGAAATAAATTATTCAGACCACTTTGTCTACATTCTGAAAGATGGTTTTTGTAGCATTGATCTCCTTGTCCTACAACTCAGCTGTCTCCTATACGTGGAGCTAAATGTAACAGACCCCCCACTCCCGATTTTGTTGTTAGGTCCCCTCTGACACACGAGTGACTTTGCTGTTCACTGTCCTCTAACACATCAGTCTGTTCAGAGCTGCCACTTTATGGAGAGGGTGAGAACTGGTTTCCCAGAGGATTATGGGACTGTGAATTCTAATTAGAACCCTAGTGGTCCCAATGTTACCGGTCGAGACTGGATCCTGTTTGTTAATTGTGCTGAGATCATTCGACAGTGGTTGATGTATTGCTGTGGTCTGCTAAGCAAGCTCAGTTATTTTCACAGTTTGATAATCAATGCTCCACTGAACACAATTCCTTTCGAATATGACCATTTGCTTGTCCTCTGCTTAATTGAACAATTGCATTTGCTGGTACATGCACCTAAATGTTAATTATTTTTTTCAGGTTTTTCTCTTAATGATTTTATTTACAAATTGGAAAGCTTTATCATATTTTCCACACCAAACAAATTCCCTATCTGAACCAGTGTTATATCTTTAGCAGAAAAGACAGAATTTTTAAGAAGTGCTCACCATTCCATTTTTTAAAATAATTATGCAACACTTAGAAAGCTACACAGTCTTCTTTAATTGCCTCAGTGGTTCAACAGCTACATATGCAAGAGATTACTAATAAACTTTCAATCAAAGCATTATTTTTTTTATAAATACAAATGCAACACAGGAGGGCATTAGCTCAGCCTACATTGGATTTTCAAGGAAGTAATCAAGGAGTGTTTGAATGAAGCCTAAGTTAGTAGCTAATAAGTAAAGGGAAAGCATAATCATTTTTGAAACTCTGGAAAGTTCAGCAAAGTATAAAGAGTGTTTAAAGAATCCCCCGTAATCCTCCCCACCCCAAGACGATCACCATTAACCATGTAGGTACATCTCTTTAGAAGGGTATGTGGGTTCTTCCTCTGGGATATGCTCACAATCGCTAACCTTTAACATCCAGCTGGGGTTGGTATCCAAGCCCCTGTCTCTCCAGTGTGTTTTGTTCTTCGCTCTGGTACTAAGCTTTCATTAACCTCCACGTTAGACTGGTGGATGTGGGTAACTGCTGTTCTGGTGTGGTCTCCCAGTTGGGCGCCCCTGTGTTGGGCTCCTGTGCATTCCTAAGTCCGATTTCTCCTTGCGTTTTAGGGTGGTTATGCTGCATACCGCTACGCCCAGCCTACCCCTGCCACTGCCGCTGCCTACAGTGACAGGTAAGAGTCTCCCTTCTTCTGCTTGACAACTACCTGGAAATGAACTTAGCTGGCGGGAGACGAGATTCTCGTCTGGTTTTGGTGCAAATGCATGACTTCTGGGGAGGCAGCGCCCAAAAAGTCAGGTCCCACCGTGAAGGGAAACGGCGCCATGTAGAGGGACAGTCAAGCCTAGACCATCCTAAACTCTTGCCCTCTCTGCTTGAAACACAGAATTGCTATGTCTGGTCCGAGTAGAGTTGCTTTCCAGATCTCTCCATTCCTGTAACAGCACACCTTGCATGCACACACATACAGTCCCTGTACAGTCTTTCCACAGTCTTCTGCGTAACAAGCAGCCATGGTTTCATCTAACTTGTAGGAAGAACCCCAAGAAGACGATCCTACAGGTTTCCCTCAATTTCGAGCACCTGGTGCCCCCCCCCCCCCTTTTTTTACAACGTTTTACACCCAGTAAAGCATTCCCTCCACTGCATGTTTTAAATCTAGAACAAAGGAATGGGGGAGATGTATCTGGCATTCCTAAGATGATTCACTCTTTTTGGCAGTCCCAGTGTCCGATCCTACTAAGATAAGCCAACGTTTATTCGTAACGTGCACCACATGTTAAGACTGGCAGTGGAAGGGACCGAGTGGGTTTAAGAAATGCAGAAGTCAGAATGGATGGTGGGGGTGGGGGTGGGGGGGGTGGAGGGGAGCTTGATGACCCATTACCCAGGCTTAACAGATAACTGGGTTTCTGAAATGGCAAGCCACAGCTATTCCTGTGTAGGTGCCTTGAAAAAAAAAAAAAAAAGCGTGCGTTTCCATATTGAATGCAACTCGTTGGCTCTGTTTTCTGAGGACATAAACGTGAATGTTCAGAAGCTCTGCATGCACAAATGTGATCGAGGGTGCTTATTTTTGGTAATGACTCTTTTAATTTAAAAATATGTCTCATGAATAAAACAGTAATGGTAACAATTTGCATGTGTGGCTGAGGCATGCTGGGTCAGACAGGTAAGCAGGCAATGTACTTGACCCCTGAATGGGAAGTGTCGGCAGCGTCTGGTTCTCCTTCCTCCCTGGCCTGTTGTGACTTAGTTCCTCTCTTGGTTTGCTGTGGTGTGCTTTTTCTGCGGCCCCATTCCATTTCTCACGAGATGTGTTGTGAGCTCGATGTAGCTGCAGATTTCTTCCAAGGTAGAAGAAAGCAAAATCAACTCCTGAACCCCAAAAGCTGCACTTTGAAATCCCCATGCCTACACTTGTAATAAATGGCTCTTTGGCAAGAAAGGAGGGAGATCGCTATCTGGTTGTGTGCAGGTTTCATTACTACTTTCTTATAAACAGCCATAACGAGTTCCCAAGGCCGGAGGGAGCCTCTAAAGAAATCCACACAACATCAAGATACAGTTCTAAATGCATAAATTATCCAGTTACCCAGTAATCTTTCACTAAGATGCAAAATACGTTTTACGTACGTTACTATCTTCAATCCACTTTGACACCGGATTAGGAAACTAGAGAGGGTCAATAAAGCTAATAAAATGATGTTAATCTTGAAATCCTCGAACTCATTCTACAAATGAAAAGTCTTAATGCTATTAAATTCTGCACACTGAAGATTCACAAAGTATCAATTGTGATGTGGTTCATCTCCAACCCTTAATTATTTTTGTGAAAATATCTCTAGATGCTAAATTCTCAAACACCCACTTTGTATATAATTATAATCATAGTAACTTTAGTCTGCTGTATAATTATAAGAATCTTACACGGATTTATTTCTCTGGATTTTTATCTTGCTTCTCAGTATAAGTGCATCTTCCCCCAGGTTGGAAAAAGGTTAATTACAAAGATATACTTTAAATTGCCTTCTTCAATAAGACCAACCTAGATGCTTTTTGAAAAATAAACAATATTTAATACTGTTCTTAGATAGAATTACTTGAGAATCTGGCCATCTCTATTGGCATTCATTTGAAAATTAATTTAAAATGATGTTGCATTGGGGGTCACCCTGTGCAAATATGTGTATAAAATCTGTTATTTTTAATATTACTGATATTTCTCATTGGCAACGTGTCCTACCGAAAATTGCCCTCATTCTTGGATTGGTAAATCTTGAGTAGCCCTACAATTCCCACTTTAGAGGAATCGTTTCAGTGGAAGAAACCAAGTAAATATACTCTTGTCCATGTAATTGGCCTCATGCTGTTCATATACATTGGGTCTTCTTGGTTGCTGTAGAAATTGATCGCTAGCCCTATTTAACTTTATTGCAAGCAAGACAGTTGCCACAGACGGGATTATTGCATTGAGGTAAATGCAGGAATAGGTAAAGTGCCAGAAAACAATCTTTAAAATGATATTTCTGGTTCGATTTGCAATATGTATTTATGACATGATGGTACTTCCTTATGTTTTCAGTAAGCAGGTAAAGAGAAGGAAGACCCTTCCCTTTGATAGAAGACACACGTTTGGGGAAAATATGAAATTGTCAGAATAGGTTTTGAATCCAGATGGAAGATGCCAAGTTTCTAGAATTTATCTCAGGGCAGTTGTGTAATAATTTATTTTTACACGATCACAGTGCAGTATCAGCCATGATAGATTTCTCAGTTCCTCTCGTCTGGAAGACAGGCAGGATGACAAAGAGTAAAACTTCTAAACCCAAAGAAACTCCTTCAGGATAGGAAGCAAAATCAGTAAGAATTGAGAGCATTTTGGTGATGCTCACTGGCTGTCAACTAAGTGAAGAGAAGCCGCAACGAACTTTACTTGTAATCATGAGATTTGCTCCTCAGGCATGTGGAAAGCGAAAGAGGTTTGATGTCCCCCGTTGGTAGAATTTTGCCTTTTATCAGCACAAACTAAGCCCTCGTCAAATTAAAGATTCAGGGACCTTTGGAAAATGTTGAACCCCAGTAACCCCAGGACTGTCCAGAAGGTCCTTGATGGGTCCCTTGCAACTCCCTGCCCCATCATCTTCTTGGTTACATGATCACATGCTGATTATCTGGGAGCACCCTGAGAGTTTCTGACTGCTGACCTCCAGAATGAAGACCATCTGGTGTGGGCAGAGATTTCCCCAAAAGAAACAGACCTGCCTGGAGTAGGTAATTGTATAGTCTCACTGACGAATTTAATGGGAATAGGCAAACGTATTTCCTTGGCATTTAGAAAACCTTTGGTAAGCACTTGCCTTCGCCAAACCTTCCTTTTTAATCTCACTTTGATTTAGGGAAAGCCAACTGTCCAAACTCTCAAAGGGGATTGTTTTCTGAGCTTGAACCAATCAAAGCATGGCAGTGGGGCCGACGGTCATCTGGTCATTGCATGCCACTTGGTGTTGCTGATGTGTCCGTGATGCGTTCTGGATTTGACAGGTCCACCATCACATTAGCTCGATGAATGGCTTGCTTGAATTAAGCCTGGGGGTAGGCTTCTCTTTATGGATTGGCTCTTGGTTTCTTTGTGTTTTATTACTTGGTTGTTGATGCATCTGTGAGCAGCCAAACCAGAAAGTGGGGCGGGAGGGGATATTCCCTATTCAGGGACTTGTGCCACAAATATTTGGGGATGTATGTATGATGTGTCTATAGCTTTGATGAAAATGTTCTCTCTCCAGAAAGGCAGACATTTGTCATTGCTTGTCCTGCTTGCTAAACATTCTAACATCTCCTAACAACCAGTGCATGAGAACGTCCCCCACATTAGTGTAGAAGGGAACTAAGGGTCTGATCAGCCAGAGAAGAAAGTAATGCAGAGTGGTTCGCTCGGAGATTTCATAACGATCCCGTTGCACTGATAGTTACCAAGGGCCATTTCTTCTTTCACGTAAGACGTGTTTCCTTTGAGGATCCCCCAAAGTCAGCCACTTTGGACACAACAGTTATAGCCCCAGCCGCACAGGTGCCCCTAGCCTGAGCAATAGAGACAACATGCAACAAGGTTTTGTTTCTTGTATTTTCTACTTTTTTTGTTCATTTGTTTTTTGAGACCTTAAAGTTTCATTGAAAACATTTTGTGTGACAAAAAAATGGTGGAATATTGGCAGTTTCGTAGCTTAGTAGTTAAAATGCCCTAGAATCAGTAATCTTGCCCTCTGCATTTGAAATACACACACACACACACACACACACACACTTCATATATATGTGTGTATGTTGTGTGTCTATATATACATATGCTTAAATGAACACACACACACACACACACACACACACACACACAGCTGTGTCTTAGGCCCTCACAAAAGACTCCTGAGAGAATCCAGGTAAATCTTAATATAAGGAGGGAGGTCAGGACTTGTCAAATTCAGGCAGTCATAAGCCACATGCTAGAACATTTTTTTAATGTGATAGTCATAACCTATTAATAGAAGTTTCTATTTCAGAGAGAAATAGATTAGTAGTTCTTTTTTAAAAGTCAATAAGGATAAGTAGGCATGTCTTTGAGGTCATGGAGAAGTTGGTCTACCCCTATTTGAATTTATATGGGTGATAGAGATAGATAGATACATACATACATACCTAGGTGGATGGATAGATGGATGCGTGGGTGGGTGGATGGGTGGATGGATGGAAAGTTAGATGATAAATAGATACACAGGTGGTTAGATGGAAGAGAGAAAAATGAGAGAGGAGAACAGAGAACAGAAAAGTGGAAGAAAAAGAAAGAGAGGGAAGGGAGGAGAGGAAGGAAGAGGAATGAAGGGAGAAAGGGAGGGAGGGAGGAAGGAAGGCCACTCCTGGGACTGGTCAGGCATTAGCCATGCTTCTTAGATGTCAATACAGAGAGCTTACCTTTTACAAAACGATGACAACAGAAAATGGTAGCTTTGTTTTGTTTTTTGTTTTTTTCCTGTTTTATGCAATTTTGTTTTTAATGTTTTTACTTGGCAAAATAAATGCTGGCAGCTCTATAGTAGCCTTCCTATTAGATTTTTACATTTTCAATTTTTTTTTTCCTCTGAGACCACTGTTGAAAAGTAGAGTTAGTGCATTATAAACCTT